GCCCGAATCTCCCCACCGTGCCGCACACCTGAGAGAGCAAGATAAGCGCCATGCGAGACGCTGACGCCTGCACTGCCTCCTCCGGGTGGCAACTTCAGTCTTTAATGGCCATTTGCTGTTAGGAGGCAACACATCAGGAGGCGAACACTCCTTGTGGTGTTAATTTCCAAAACCGGGGGTCTCGCCGCAGACAGCGGTGAATGAATGCCATAGGGAAGAAATCAAAGCCAAAATATAACGTTTCGTTGAATTGGCAGGATATAAGCATGATGTTTGCGTATCGTTGAGCCTCAGTGGAGTGTTTCAAGCTTTCAAACATTTGTTACACCAACAGTTTCAAACATTGGTGTGTTGTAAACATTACACAACACACATATTGGTATACACATGGCACATGGAATATATTACTTTCATGGTAATGAGCAGGGATTCAAATGAAATTTCTCCCGCAAGGTCGTCTACTTCAGACAGAATTCTGAGCTAGCCAGGAGGGATTTCGAGGAAACTGTTATTACGATCAATCGTACGCATCTGATGAAACATAAGTGAAAACTACAAAAGCTAAGGACTCTTACTTTGAAGCCGTTCTTCCCTCCAAACTTGGGTTACGACATCGGAGAAGCAGACCATGAGGAGACAATAACAAGTTAACTTCAGTTCAGCCATAGCGAAGAGCAATCATCTAAAACCGTCGCCGTTTATCAATATAATATATATATATATATATATATATATATATATATATATATATATATATATTTGGAACTGCACGGTTCTACCACGATGCCATTTGTGGACCACAAGGCTGGTCTGGCTGGTTGCGAAGCTTTTGCAGCCACACATTACATTCAGAAACAGTTCCTGCCAACCCTAGTAGTATATTTGTCCAAATACTAATTGTTACGCATAAATTGGTAAGTATGTCGGCGCGGTCAAAGGTATTTTCTTACATCCAAGGGCACTGGGGTCAAGTATAACACCACACGCACGACCAAAGCTAATACCAAAGGGATAACCCTGCTTTTGTGTTAATACGGGTTTTGACTTATTTACATTTCATCAATTTGACACGTCCACAAATGGACGTGATGCCAATTGTGTTTCGAATTTTAGCATTGTGCCTTGTCGCCGCCGCCACAAACTTGCGCCGAAAACGTAGCATGTTTATTGGTACCAAATCTGAATGCCCGAAATCTAGGATAAACAGGAGCGAGACTCATCTGCCCACTTGAAAATAGGTAGAGGGTTTTGGCTGCAAAAGCGTTTGTTGTTTCATACTCGTTTATCGTTTTACGTTTGTTTATAGGGACATATCATAGACTACCTACCGGACTCGTACAATGACGAATGAAATTACGTACCACCAAATGATGAAGGTACGCGGCGACTAAACAAAAAATAATTTAAGCAAGTCCGACTTTGACCACCATATCGGCCATGAATTGAGCGAACACTGCTCCGATGCACTGCCAGCTTTCCGGCACTGACAGACAAGGCTTTCGTGGACAGTGTAAATGCCTGGGAATTAGATGCTGTTTCCTTCGAGGTCGGAAACGTCTGATCATTGATCCTGAATAAGAGTCTGCCTAGCCATATGTAACTGGAAATCGCTACACCGGAAATTGAATGCTAGTCAGATCCTCAGAAAGTAAACAGTTGGAGCTAACCGTTACTTTCTTCCTTAAACTGAAATAGCACGTCCATTGTGCATGGAATATACCACGGGACCACGGTCCGTCACAAGGACAGCGTCCCGGGTGTTGCCCGCGAGCCTTGCCACCGGTGCTGCCACCGCCACACTCTAAGCCGTACGTAATGACCACTACGGGGTCCGCACGGCCGCTGACCGGCCGTCACAGTGGCTGAAAAAGCCCCCGACTGGCACTGGAACCTCGTCCCCCCCCCCCTGTCGCCTCAGAGGCCAGCCCAGGGCCGGCTGAGGGCGGCACAACTTATCTGGTCCTCATACCCGCAGGACAGTTTGTACGGACAACATCCAGTAATGCAGCGGTTGCAGCGTGGGTTGCTCGCGTGGTTGTGCATCGAATGCACACGTGTCCTGCGTCGCTTCCGTGTTAACAACGTTACAGTTTATTTTGGTAGACATGGCGACGAACGATGAGTTTCACTCCTCTTTGTCCGGTTTTCGTAGAGTTAGAATTGCTACCAAATTTAATCCTCGTCCTCTGCTTGTGTGAACAGGATTTACCTTACTTTTCTATGCCAACTCCGCTGTATCCCTTGCTAGTCTGTAAATGCTGGTAGGCGTTCCATCGTATAACACTTGAAGCGGGACAAGAAATGGACTTTAACATCCTGCCGTGTTTTAAATTTGTAGAGACAAAGGTAGGTACAATAAACCCATGTGAACGATAGCATGGGGTACCTGCCGAAGTCTGGTTGCTGAACATATACCAATAATGCCACCATCAAGTATTACTTTCCATCATCGCGCAGTCTGACCAGAATAGTGGGAAAATTGTGTTGAATGAATGAAGTACGTGAATCAAGATGTCCCAAATGGACATATTTGCCAAGAAAACATAATTACGAGTCATGTAGGGTCAACTATGACCATTCCAGAGAGCCTTCCAAATATATGCAGCGTGCCGGCCTATATCGTAATATGTAGTATTACAGGCTCTATGCAACCTTGAAGAGCCGCCAACTTGCAATTGATCGCCTATACCGGCTAAGTTTGAGATGGATCAGTTAAAGGACCTTTCACCCGTCTACATAGACACCCGAGGGAAAATTGTGGTCGTGCTTGTATCTATTTGCACGTGCGTTCTTTTGGGACACGCACTAGCAAAGCCTTATCATAGTTTCCAAATTCATCTTACAACTGTCTGTTTCCTTTGAAACGTTTGTTTTCGATCACAAAGCTAACTTCACCTGATGAACTGCCATAACTGGCAGTATATCAATAAGATGGTTTCTACAGCCCAACTTGAGCGTACTAAAGGACCGTCAGAAATGTGCGTTATTCTCAGTCGCGCTCACAGCTCAGACATTTTAAAAATTGTCCCAAAAATAATGATATTGAATACAAAGTAAATTGTTTTTGTAGCAAAACAAGTGAAACCCACTTGCAGTTTTGCTTTTTCTATCAATTGGGCTCGTCTGGGACACTAGATCACTCTAAGCAGTTTTTATATTTTGCTTTTCATGTGGATGCCACCAACGGTGCTGACCAGCTAAAGGCGCCTGCTTACAATGAAAGCACGTTGCTTGCCAGAGTTTCGGTCCGTATGCAATGACTTCAGTTGGCTCTTTGTGACCAGGATTTCCTGCGATGAAATCGAGCACGGACGTTTGCTTGACGGGGCTAGGAGGCATAGGAGTCTGTATTCGTTTTTTCAGCTCAGACACGCTGCGCGGTTCGTCTCCTCGCTTCACGACTTGAAAGACCGGATCAGTGCTTCCAACGTGCTGGTGGGTGGGCAGCAATTCCCAGAAGTTACATATATGATTTGTGTTCACTAGCCCTGGTTATGTTCACGCTAACGTAAAAACGCACAAAACGGAAAATCTTGTGACATTGATTATGCCTTAGATCCCGACACCTATCTACTAGCTGGCAAATACTTAAGGGCCTGACTGAAGCTAACACATTGCCGGGTATAGCCTAGGATCAATAGGAAAGTGCGTTGATGCTATGAAATCTAGCAAACCCACCGATTTTATTGGCTTCACTAAAACTAGGTGCAGAAGTCCTCTTCAAAATATTGCGGCTCATGATATCATATTGGACTGTCTACCACAACCCAGTTTCATCGCACTGGTACTGTCATGATCAGTGTGCCTTTCAGCGGTCCAGTCTGCTGAGATGTAGATGGCGTTGCAATGTGTTCACTCCTCGAATGATTGTTTCTCTGTACGTAAATGTGCTGACTAAATGACAGCGCGCTCAAAAATTAGAACTTCTAGCTGCACATGTGGGTGCTCCCAATGTGCAGACGATATATTCGTTGACTTCAGAGACGAGGCCCGCCTTCGCCAACAACAGGCCTCTATGCAGCAGGAAGCAGTGGTGGGATTCACCGATGCGCTGACCTAAGTGTTGACACTTGCTGTACTTGACATCGATGCGGGTAGGCAACCTTTGCGACGAGCGTGCGTCGCAAATCTGCTGTTGCAGGCGTGCGCATTGGCGCGAGTAGTGAATGATCTGAGCACTATCGCACTGCCGTCATTCGTTCTCTCGTAAGAGCTCTTAAATTTTACCCTGACTTATCCCGCATGCACCAGGAGCTTGAACGGTGAAGGCGAATGCCCGTAAATAGTGGTGATATCTTGGTTGTAATTATTGTGTATTCCGCGATCAGTTGATTCAGAAACCTTATTCGTCCAGAGCCGCAAAGGCCCAAAACCAGACGTCAGAAAGCCAGGTCATAGGCTGCTATACAGAGACCAAATGTCTCACTACACAGCGTCGATGAAAAAGGCTACAGAACATCATTAGGACGAATATTAGAGCGACTGACAACAACGCCGAAACAGTTTTCCATTTTTACAAAAGAAGTACAACTAGTAACCACGGAGGACCAGGGCCCTTTTGGTTCCAGAGGCGCTTGTCCGCCTTGGCTGAGGAGGTGCACCTGGCCCCATTCTGTCGAGGACCTCTACGAAAAAAATGGACCGTTTTGCATCCTTGAGGGTCTTTAGAGCCAATGCGGGGACCTCGGATCTCCAAGAGTTCAATGACTTCTAACACCCGCACTGGCTTTGTAACTGATCCTACCGTCTTTGCCATCCTACGTCAAATCCCGTCGATCTTCACGCTCACGCGGGAGGTGTGCCCCATTCGTTAAATTTTACGTACATAAGATTAGATTTCGCTACCAAATCCTTTTAATGCTACCACATTAAATGTTTTTGTAGCATCAGCGCAGCTTTTGCAGCAGGGTGCTCAGGGAATCACACACCCTTTTTGGATGAGGCAATAGGTGGCCGTTAAATTTGCATAGGTGGTATAGAAGGTTGGTATTCAATTTAAATTCGGTTCACAAATTGTTGTGTTCTCTCGAAAACCGCTGCAACATGGTGCAATGATATAGATTCGGCCCGGTAGCATTGGAATTGCGTGTTTCCATGAGGATGCGCAGAGGCTGAGTTGCTGTTAACAGCTGCGACCATGGGAAATGGGCATAAGTAATCACGTCATCATCCAGCTTTCTGACTACCGGAGTGAGTGTCAGAAAATTGCTGCATTTGAGCAAAATGGCTGCTATGCATGCCTTGACAATTGAGACTCAAGTTATTTTTGTCCGTGCAGACAAGTGATTGTGATGTGCATGCCAATTGTGAAAACCATCTAGCATTGCTGTTGAAGCACTGGTATTGTAGTTACAACAATATCAAGGGAGGAAAACTGTCGTGTTGGGGTCTGTGTGTGAGTGAAACTATAGATGGTTGTGCTGAAAGATATGTAATGGATGCTGAACTCACCATATTCACATTTGTGTGTGGAAAATGCAAATCAGATCCAATTTAGTGTACCTGAAAATTGCAGACATGGTCATAGCCATCTGACTTACAGTCCACCTTCAGTAGCTTGAATTTGAGGGTGGTTTGTGTTCCACATCACCAGTTTGCTTTCTACTCCATGTTTCCCATAAAATGTTGCATCATGACCAGTACAGCCAACATCACATTTGGCTGTTGTAGCAGCTGAGCATGGTGAATTTTCTTAACACAGCCTGGATTTTGAAATATTGGACTGGCAAGCTAATTTGCATGCTTATTATTGGATGTACCTCTGTTGGTTTACTATGGCTTTGTAATGTGAGTGTGGCATTGTGTCACCTGCTTACTAAGATGCATACTTATGTGCATTGACTTTTAAAACTGTCACATTGTTGGAATTGAATTCTATGACAGGTTATCATTTTGAATTAGCATAATGCTACTTTGGGGAGCTACTTTACAAGCAAAACACTCATACAAGACACTACCATTGGTTATTTCACATGCTGTCACAGACAATTCATATGATTTAAATGTGTTTTAGTGTTTTTTGCATCCTAGTAGTCTGGTCATCAAATTCATGTTGGATGTGAACAAGAGCTTTATTCTCAGCTTGGGTGGTAGGACACCTCAGTTGAGTGAATTTGGTGACACAAATTATTAAAATGGTATTTCATGTACCACATGATTAAAAGTAAGCAGCAGAAAATGTATTCTGGTTAAAAGCACTACTGCACACCACACCAAAAGCACCACTGTGCCACTGAACCAAGCATCAAGGTACTGGGGCAGTGTTCTCCATTGGCCAGATACCTACCTGGACCTGAACTGCTACTCTTGATATTGAAAGTGCCTACATCAAGTACAAGTGACAATCCTCCTAGCTGTAGGAACTGCACTCATCTATGTCATAGGCTGCAACTTTAGATGGTGTTCCACAATGGGGAATGCTACCTCGGTGTGAGAGGTTATTGCTAAAATCTACCTGTCAAAAGGCTTGGACTAAATTGTAAAAGAATTAAGATATTAATATTGTTTCATCTCTGGAATCTTCAATGTGTATATGCAAGACAAAGGAAGTGCAAAATCTTGGTCACATTTTATGCTATGATTAATTTTTTTTCTTCAAAATAGCATTGTCACAAGGGTGTGAGGGCTGAGTTTGGGCACTCCATACAGATTTATTTTACCAGTTTGAGCATCTGTGGCAGTGAGCATGATAGAACATTTTTTTTTGCAGCATCAGGACATGCCATCTTAGGCCTGGTATAGTAACAACTACATGCCTACCATGTGTATTTGTGGAGCTGACATGTAGCATTAGTATACCTGGTCTTTTATGCTGCTGTGTTTGTGAAAATACAGCATGGGTCCAGGGCAGAAGAGTTTATAAATAACTCAGAAATGAGAACAATTTTGCTATGCACTAAAAGGAGTGGTACAGCAGACGCACAATTCATTCCACATCCATTCTTCACTGCCTATGATGCCATTTTGTTAAAATACTTTTTTCCTGAATGTGTCATGTAGTGCTGAAGTGCATGTAACTATAAAACTTCTGTTGTTTTTGGGCATGCCAACAGTGTAGGCAAATATGCACCCATGTTTTTTTTAGAAACTGCACTCAAAATCAAGAGTTGTCAAGGACTGTGTTGAAAGTTGCTGGCTCTTATTAACAATGAAAGTGATGCAACTATTATAAGCGATCAGAAAGTCAGGGAGTTATGTTTCTTTTCAAAGATCTGCTGTGCATTATGGGCATTATATGGCTGTCCAGTTGAATGATCTGTAAGCTCTAGTTACTACTTATGTTGCAGATATGATATGGCATGGATAAGATGGTGATGATATGGTATGATGGGTAGGGTGATTAGCTCAGAATTGTGTGGGCTAATTCAAGGTTTGGAGTGATTTGACTGCCCCTCTTTTTAGCAAAACTTAGTAGGAAAATTACTTGTTTGCACATGATTTACATTGTTGGAAGAGTGTATGTAACATCATCTACTGCAAGTCAATGTAAAGTGGATTGTTTGCTCTATGACAGAAGGTTTGTTCTCTGCATGGACATGTTCTGAGTATGATAATTGTGTTTGAGATGGCTTGATTACTTCAAGGCTTCATTGCCTTGGTTGCAATGCATAATATCGCCAAAGTATAGGGAACCGGCCTTTGCCATGTGAACAGCACTTAATTGAGGATATTGGACATTACCATGATAGTGACATAAATCCCTCTGTTGTAATCATATGGCCGTAGGCATTTGGACATAATGGGCCATCAATTATACAATATCCTAGAACTTGAATTGAATACCTTTTGGTCTAAAGGGCTCCACAGTCACATTTATAACTGGCTATCTATAGATGAGTATAGCCTGGTGAGGTCATACACATATATACTATTTGTAGATGTGGATGAGCTGGGGAGGCTGAAGTGTGTGTTTGATTTGTTGTTTGGCATGTGTTTATGCTAGCATTACGTCAAAAGCGGATGTCTAGATTGGCATATATTCAATTTCTCATTTAAACTCTTGTTTATCAAATAATATGTCATTATTTCATATGCTAAGAAGTGTGATAAAGTGCTTGTCAGTTCTTTGGTAGATTTGTTTCATCTGTACATCTTCAGGGCTTTTTGGTAGATTTGTTTCATCTGTACATCTTCAGGGCTTTTTTGATAAAAAAACACATCTTGTATTTTAAGAAGATAATTGTTGCATCCTGTATCATCCTGTATCATCCTGTAACTTGAGTAATTATGTAGATTGTGGCACTCTCCTTCAAAATTGGTTTGTCAGCTGGCTAATTGGTGGAATATATGATGACAGTGGATGAAAAGAATTGCTATCAAGATGCACTGGCCCATTCCACAACAAACTGACAGGTGAAGAGGCCAAAATAACCCGTGCTTTTATATTTGGCTGGAAGTATCAGTAGGGCAATACCCTGATACCCTGATACCCTGAATTCAGCTTTGTCATTTTTTAGAAAGATTTTAGCATTGACTGAGGAGTTACAGCTTCAGACATTTCTAGGTCAACCAAGAAGGGTGACTTTGAGCATCCACAACTCAAATGAATTTATATTATTTGTACAAAACCACATGCTGCTGAACTCACAATGATGCAGGGCATTTTTTGGTTATCTTCAAATTTGTGTTTACTAAAATCTCAAAACTGTGGCCTAGTGACCTTAATTGAGGTGATCTCTAAATCTAAATCACGATCTAAAAATCTAAACATTTTGGCCATTCACAATACCACTTTTGAAATGCAGAAATGTACAGCAATGACTTTTCTATTAAAATTAAGTTTGAAGAATCTTTTTCTCTGAAAGCTGTAATGTTTTGTTACATCGATTTCGCGATCCGTGCTCACCCGCTGTTAATACGGAATCTCACCACCATGTCATCACCAAGGATTGGACCAACCTCGTCGCTAGCCTCTGACTTGTCAGAGATGATAGAACTTAAAAAATCCATGACTCCCTACGACGCCCTGTCCTCAGAACCGCCAGCGGTGCTCTGTACTCCCGTCTGGTGACGCCGCCGCGCTCCGTGCCCACAGTGCCGCCGCTGGTGGTGCTCCAGTGAGCCACCCGGCCCGCCGCCATGGCGGCCGCCACCCTCCAGCGGGTGATGCATCGCAAGACGGAGTCGGGCCGCACCTTCAACGTGGCCGTGGTCGGCCTGTCCGGCTCCGAGCGCGACAAGGGCAGCGTGGGCGTCGGCAAGTCGTGCCTCTGCAACCGGTTCGTGCGCACGTCGGCGGACGACTACTACACGGAGCACATCTCGGTGCTGAGTCAGGTGAGGCCCTCGGAGCGTCGGTTGACATTCTCTGAGCGTCGGGGTGAGGTTCTCAGAGCGTCGCGGTGGGCCTCCTGAGCGTCGGGGTGAGGTCCTCTGAGCGTCGGGGTGAGGTCCTCTGAGCGTCGGGGTGAGGCCCTCTAAGCGTCGGGGTGAGGCTCTCTGAGCGTCGGGTGGGGCCCTCTTGAGCGTCGGGGTTGGGTCCTCTGAGCGTGGGGATGAGACTCTTTGAGCGCCGCCAACCGGCCGGCCGCGGCGCTGAGGCGGTAGGCTTCCCTCGGTGGCCGAAGTGTGGGTGCGGCGTGTGGGCAGCTGCGAGGGGCAGTGCGTGTGAAGTGCGGTGAGGTGTGAAGTGCGGTCAGCGGACGGTGTGGCCCCCTTTCAGACGGACTTCAGCGGCCGGGTGGTCAACAATGAACACTTCATGTACTGGGGAGACGTGGCCAAGATCTCCGAGGAAGGCATCACCTTCCAGTTCCAGGTGGTGGAGCAGACGGAGTTCATCGATGATGCCTCCTTCCAGCCGTTTAAAGGTTAGCCTCGCCTTATGTGACTTCTGCTGAGCAGACAACGTCTCACGTTGGTCCACCATTGTTCTGTCATTGGTTTTCATCTCTGTCGTCATCTGGAGATATCAGCATCGCGGTTTGCCCGCCTCGCAGTATCTCGTCATCTTTTTCTTGTCCTGTACTTTCCCCTATTGGGCTGTATACCGAGATATAATGGGAGGATAAGGACTACCGAACCATTACTTGCGATATCTGTCAGAAACCAGAGCGTACATCGATCTTGTGCCGAACGTGAGTCAGTGCAGGCAAACTGCTGTGTGCTAGGATATGTCACTGATATAAGAATTCGAACCGTTGGTGGTTTCGTGTAACGTCAATGCCGGGGGAGATGTGATCGGGCGCTGCTCAGGCGGTGCTCAGATGTTCAACACAAGCCGCCGGTCATACATATCGGAACAGAACGTGTATGGCGCGCGTCAGGACGTCGGCGTGTGCTCAACCACGTCTCGCACCACTTCTAGCCATGAAGTGGTGCTCCCCGCCCTATGTCCGTCCACTGTTCATGCCTGTGGTGGTCAGCACCCAGCGTGCGCGGCTGGCGCGACATGACGTGCGTGATCGCCGCCTTCATGCATGGGTCGCTGGGTCACCTGCGGCTGAGCGGGACGCAGCAGGGTCGGGGCATGTGAGCTATCCGTCACCGGCCGCTCCTGGCTCGTCCCGCCGTTATGCCGCCCCCGCCCCCGCCTCCGCAGCGGCCCCCTTCGGCCGCCGCCTCCGCTCTGACCTCCTCCGCGCGGGTCGGTCGGTCCGTCGCCGTCGGCTCCGCCGTGGAATCAGCCGACACAGTGGGACGCCCAGCTGGCGGTGCTGGACGGGAGGTGGTGAGACGTTCGGGGTAGCGGCGGCGGGGGGGGGGGGGGGGGGTGAGTGAGACGTTCGGGGTGGCAGCGGGGAGACGTTCAGGGTGGCAGCGGGGAGATGTTCGGGGTGGCAGCGGGGAGACGTTCGGGGTGGCAGCGGGGAGACGTTCTTGATCGCGGTGTTGTGAGAGGGTCGGCGGCGCGTCATGGCTTTCCTCCTCAAAACACCTTTTTGCGACAAGCAACTGCGATGACGTACTGAGACTCGCCGCCCTTCATTTCTGGCATTCGAAGTAGAGTATGAAATAGTCTCGTTGTGTTTGTGTTCGCTTCTCGTTTTTCGCAGTTTTGTTTCCCGGCCAGAGTCACGGCGCCTCCACCGTCGACCATTTGGGATCCAGGTTTCGTTGCTCTGGGTTTCTTGATACTGCCGATCATTTGAAGTGGAACGGATGAAAGGGTTTCCATCCAATTAAGGCCACGGGAATAACGGCGGATTTACGGGCGACTTTTTTGAAAATAATGTTTGTGACCTCGTTGACCACTTGGTTATCCTGTTGTAATGCAGCGCAGAAGTCATCGCTGGCTCCTGTTTAAGTTTCCTTTATTGTTAGGCATTACACTTAATCTTAAGCATCTGAAGGATTGATCTTAACATAACAATAATACTGACAATACTACGGACCATGTGACATTTTTTTTTAAAAGCTTCGCGCCATTTCCTTCTCTTTCATGTTCCAGCGCTGTTCGACCAGCTGGTCGGTGGGGAAATTGTTACCACCCCTGGGATCTAATAAAACACCCTTCGAGCCAATGGCTTAAGCTACTTCAAAGTTTCAGCGTTCTCAAATATGCAATAGGCTGTCTTGTGTCCAAAATGTGGTTGATCGTGCCTGCTAGGCCACATCAAAATGACATCACAAACACTTCCCAGATCCCGAATCTGGAGGTCATTAGTTTTTTTTTGTTGTTGTATTGTTTAATACCTTGCTGTCGTTTAACGACAATGGGTTCATATGCGCACAATGACGTCATTCGAAGTGAAGCCAGGCCACCCTAATCTTATGCGAGAGCCGTCATTGGTGAAAATTGCCCATCTATTTTGGTGATGTAGTGCCGAAATAAGGGCAAAAGGGTATTTGCGTGGTATTTGAAAGCTCTGTCTATGCATGCAGGATATACGCGTTCCTGAACGATGTAGTATAGCGGGTCATTCCTGGTCAGTTTGGTAGTAAGATATGTACCCGATTCGCGGCTGATTTTGTTTCCAGGTACGTTGTTTTGTTTGTGACCTGAATGTCTCTTTCCTGTACGTTCTTGCCCCATACACAATGCGTGCTTGACCATGTTTGGGGCCATCATGAGTCAGTTTGGGTGGATTGCTTCTTTGCAGATTTGTGGAAACGTGTGACGCAATTTTTTTCACGCTGTTGGAGGGCAACGCTTGGGGTACAATGTAGCTATGGGATACGTGTATTGTCATGATATTTGCTAGATCATATGTGAACCCATGTAAGATCATCATTGACCTCCATAAAAAAGATTGCTCTGTTTTTGAGTCCCGAGGTCATTCTACACCACAAGCATGTCGTTTGACACCTGTTGTCCGGTTTTGCATACCTTGTCTGGGCGCAACGTTCTTACATGGGCAACAATAAGGGAATGGAATTTCAAAACGCTGCTTATGTCTGACCTGGTAATGTTTCAGCCACTAGGCCTACATCTAACATGGAATGGTCAAAACAATCTATGGAATGGTTTGACTTGTCCCTGACATTTCACTCCACTAACCAAGATCACTACTCCCATTGAAGTTAACGGATGTATATCCGACCATCGTAACAATACATGCTCTTGGGCACTGAAGCATGTATCTTACAAATAAGAAGTTGCCCAGGATATGCGAGAATATGGGAATGTGACCTGTCCTGCAACGCCGTCCGTGACCTTGAGGATACCGAGCAGTGTTTTGTAAACCAAATTTTTTATTTTTTATTTCATCGGGCCATCGAACCACATCTTTTCCGCGACCTGACCTGATCGATCCTGATTGATTGATCTGATTGATCTGATCTGATTGATCCGGCCTGATTGATCCTGACTCGGAAGAACCAAAGGCGAGCATGTCGAAACATGCAAAAGTGTAACATTTTGATATACAACTCTACTGTGTTGAGGCCGTGGGCTCTTTATAGGACCTGACGAAGGCGGCGAACTGGTTGCGGTTGCTCGTGTTGTAGTATTCTAAACCACTCTAATACATTTTGCAACGTGAAAATTAACAGCTGTGCACGTGTAGAAAACAAAGCATCCAAAATACGACAAATGTGATTATCAAATGCGGTATTCGTTTTGGGTTTGTTGCTCAAGAAATTCTTGCTTCTTGTCCATGTACAATATCTCTGAGTTAATCACTTTGATGTAAAATTACCACGTGCATTTGTAAAGCTGTCGTTGAGCGCTGCGCCGTGCTCGTCCGTGACGCAGGAGTGTGAGCGCGACATGACCGCTCGCGAGTCCGTGACCTCTACCTGACTCGGCTCGGGCACTTCCTCCAGCTGGGAAGATGGATCCGTACATCAAGCGCTGTGCCAACACGCGACTGTGCTCCGCCGAAAAGCTAATGTACATATGCAAAAACCAGCTCGGCATCGAGAAGGAATATGAACAGAAAGTTCTACCGGAGGGCAGGTGAGGTTTGCGCTGGCGCAACGTTGTTGTTTGTAAGATGGAGGCTGCCTTGTGCAATAGTGTTTTCGTGCTTCTTCATGTATTGCAGGCTGCACTGCCAATCAATTTTGGCGATTATATGGCGTTCGTAATATGTTGTGCTGTTAGTGACAAGTATGAATTGGTGTTGGAGGTTGTCATGCCGTTCTGTCTTTGGTGCAATGACCTGTTTGCTGTGTTTGTCATGTGCCGTGGTACGTTGATATAACTATTGATTTATTCTGTTGTTTCACTAATTATCGGACATTTCCCCTTTTACTGTAATTCCCGCAGACCTGTAGAGGAAAGTTAGTGCTACGCTTCATGCATTTTATATCCATGATAGATATCCATGATAGATTGGTGCTCGTAACACCATCGCGCCAAGTCTAATCGCACCAAAAAATAAATCAACGGCATGTCTCATGCTGGAACTTAGTGATTTTATTCCTACCGATGTAACGGTACGGACGATTTTAAAATGAGGCTCATGTACACAGAGCAGACGTGTTGACACAAAATGTCGATACGTCTAACCAGCGTTCCAAAGTTAAAATTGTACGATATACATGGATCCATTCTGGGAAAGGTTGACACTACTGAATGTTTGTCCTCTTTCAAGCCTGTTAATGAAATTCCAGCACGCGTCGTGCGAGTCGTTCATGTCAGCTGTCAATGACATGCCAGATCCACAAAATATTTCAACGTTTGTTAAGCAATTTGCGGAAGCCTGCTGAAAACCAATACCTGTTTTGTTTGAATTGGAAGGAGCGAGATGATGGCAGAAATGGACGCCATTACGTTTTATCGTGCGAAAACATGAGCTATTGGTTTTCACGATGGGCTGTCTCCTGATATCAGTTGTGTTTATTGTGAACATTCTTTTAGAAAGTTAGGTAGTTTAATTTTTTGCCTGGAGATACGCGATGTTCCATAACATATATTGCGGATCAAAATCAGGATACGTGGAAATGTTCTGCGAGCACCGCAGCACGTTTTTTAAGCACCGTGCTAATTTGTTGAAAGCTGAGCAGAGCACGTGCTACGCGTTTGCTAAAATCTTGACCTGTGACGATCGCAATGGCTGACCGGGAGGCTCACCCCGAACGCGTTCCCATAGTTCATTTGCTACCCAGTGTCAGTTCCATCCGATTTTTTTTTTAACCCTGGCTCCGCCCGACGTCCGCGTGCTGTAGGGGATCGGTTGAGATGTTTCCCCTGAGAGCCTTACCGTTACCCCCCCCCCCCCCCCCCCGGTAAGATGTACTGCGAGGGCACGGCACCCAGCTGGACCACCTCATGTGGGGCTAGCTCTCTGTCAGGATCACCGGGTAGGAACATTTCACTCAGCTTGGGTTTTCACCCAGGCCTGTCGAGGTTGGCTTTTCCTTCCCTCAGAGAAACCGGGATAGATATTTTATTTTGTCGATCCCATGTGTGGTTACTAGCCCCCCCTTCTTTTTTCTTCCGTCATGTCTATTTGGGGGGTGGGCTTTCCCCTTCTGTCGGGTCCTCGGGTGTGGGTATTCGTGAGCGATCAGGTCCACCTGGGTGACTGTTTCCCTCTGTCAGGTCTACGTTGGGTGGGCTTCTCAGTCACGTCTGACGGGGATAGATGTTTTCTCACTTTATTTCCATTTAGGGTGGGTGTTTCCCTCAGTCAGGTCCGCGCGAAGAATGCCCCCCCCCCCCCCCCCCGCCTTCGTAAAGACCTGAAGCTGCCACTTCCGTCTCCTGGAAGCTGAACCGGACATTTACTGAGACCCCTCTGCGACCAGGATGGACCAGGCCGCACTGGTCGACGACCCCAACCCGTGACTGCCGCCCGCCGGTGGCCGCGGCCGGCGGGCGCCTGACCGTTGCGTGTCCGTGTGCGCCGTCAGGTTCCTGGTGGACGGCTTCCTGTGCGTGTTCGACGTGAGCGAGGTGTCCGGCCGGCCTCTGTCGCGCCAGGTGGAGCTCACCGTCCAGGTACGGCCGGTCGGCGACAGGCTCACCGGCGACGGCGGTGGCGGCGGCCATCGACCGGCCGCTCGGGCCCGGCTCCCCCGGCGCCGGCGGCGGCGGCTCGCTGTACAGGGCGCTCTTCGCGCCGCTCTGCGTGTTAGGGCTGGGCGATAGCCGCACAGGCTGTCGCGGACCCACGCGCGTTAGCAACGCGTGGTGCTAGCAGTCTTACGAGAATCTCGAATTCATTCGTATGATACGTACAAACAATTCAAGAGCCTTGTGGCATTCACAGCATTTAGCGTACCGCCTTTCGTCAGTCGACAACAGCCTCGACTACAGTCACGTGGAAGAACCCCCAATAGTCCCTGCCGGGTGCGCTGTCACTCGCCATTGGCGTCCCAGTCCGCGACGGCTACCGTGGCGGTTAACGAGCCGGCGCTGGCCGTTTCAGATCCTGAACAGCCTGGTGCGCACCAAGAAGCCCGTCGTGCTGGTCACCACCAAGAACGACGAGGCCAAGGAGTCGCACCTGCGCGAGGCCGAGCGGCTGGCCAGCCGCAAGGAGTTCAAGGGCAACATCCCGCTGGTGGAGACGTCCGCTCACCACAGCGTCAACGTCGACCTGGCGTTCGTGACGCTGGCGCAGCTAATCGACCGTAGCCGCGGCCGCATCCGCATCGTGCCGTACCCGGAGGCGGCGCGCCAGCGCCGGGACGAGGCCGACCTCGTCTCGGACGCCTTCCAGTCGCTGGTGCGCGTACACGTGACCGACTGCCGCGCCACCTGGGCGTCGACCGTGCAGCGGCTGCGCGGCGCGCCCGCCTTCCACGAGTTCGTCGGCCTGCAGGGCCAGGAGGCGGCGCACCGGCTCTTTCGGCGCCACGTCAAGCGGCTGCGCGACGAGCACGTGTCGCGCCGCGTGCAGCGCTACCTGGCGGCGCTGCCGGACGTGTTCCGCGAGCTGTTCCCCGACCAGCGCGCGCTGCTCAGCTGCGGCTGGGCCGAGGTGCAGCAGAGTCTGCGCCAGCACCCGGACTTCGAGCGGCACTTTGTGGCGGCGCCCGAGGACCTGGCCTGGCTGGACCTCGACGTGGACGAGCTCTCCGACCCCCGCATTCCATTCGAGGTGCTGGCCAGCAGCGAGGCCGAGACGGCCTTCAAGAACTATCTCAACGCCATCCAGCAGGAGACGCGCCAGCAGGAGTGAGTACAGGGGTGCCTATTCGGGGTGGCGAATAGGGGAGGCGATTTTTTGTATGTGGGGAGAGACATCGGCCATGGCAAACACGCATGTGCCGCTTGCGATGACGTTACTACGTTGCAGGGAGATGAGGCTTGGTTGCGGTTACCATCTCCGCGATAACAATGATGATCCCGCCACTATTCTCCCAGCATTGGTTCTGTAATGCACCCATCTCGCTGTCGTGGCTGGTGACGCCTTCGGCAATATCGCGTGCGGCTGTGCCCTCCAAACCCAGTCGCCCACGCCTTCCGATCGCTCGAATGTCGCTGGGGGTGAGACATACACTTCGGAGTGGCGCGAGCCGTGTCCTCCGGTGCCACCAGCCGGCCGGCCGCCGACTGGGGGTCAAGCGCGCGGAACAGCCGCGGGTTGTCGCTCTAGTCCGCAGCTCTGAGGTTGTCTTTCCACCGTCGCGCCTGGCGCCTCGGTCATGACATGAGTGCGGTGTCCGGGTCCGCGTCCGGCCGCGGGTGCCGGCCCGATCTGTCCGTCAGAGGCCAGAGCACGTCCGGCCGTCACGCTGCCGAGGCCGGCGGCGTCGTCGGCCTCAGTCGGCAGCAATCGTCGGCGGCCGGTCTGCGAGCCGGCGCGCGCCTCTAAGCGCCGGCTCGCGGCGCCGCGTTGGTCGCGTTCGGGCGGCGGTCGCGGCGCGCCGGGCCGTCGGCGCCCCCCCCCCCCCCCGCCCGCGCCGCCGTCGGCCGGTCGTGAATCGCCGGCGCTGTCGGGCCGTGACCTGGCGGCCGGGCCGCCGCGCCGGCTTCCATTGAATTTCCGGCGGCGATCTATCGGCGCCGAGCGTGCTATCGACCTGGGGCCGCACCGACGGCGGACCCGGACCCGGTGTCGGTCGGAGACCCGGACCCCGGAGACCCCCCCGACCTGCGCCGGGCGGCGGTCCAGGGCGGAGGCCGAGGACCGGGCGGTGCGGACCGCTGACCCGGGCCCGGTGTCGGTCCGAGACCCGGACCCCGGAGACCCCGCCGACCTGCGCCGGGCGGCGGTCCAAGACGGAGGCCGAGGACCGGGGGTTACGGGTCGCTGACCCGGGCCGGAGATCGGCGAGTGACCTGGCGTCAGGGGTCAGGAGCTGGTCATGTGATGGTTGCGGTCCCGCGGTCCTCCGAGGCCCCTCGGCCTTATGTGGAGCGGCCAAGGCCGGGGCTGCACGGTCGAGGCCGCGCCTGGAGGGGCTGGCTGCGTGCCAATGGTCGTTCTCGAACAGCACGATGCTGGTCATATTAAATGCTAATGGACCTGTCACGTGAGTGATGGATCCTGTGCACGTGGATATCGGCCTTATGTTTTGCCATATATTATAGTCTGTTGGTCGTTGGCTTTCCTATCCGGTTCGCCGCTAGCTGTATCAGGCACTCTTGGGGCTGATGAACTTAACATGTGCAGCTGATCCATCTCCAAGCGTTTTTTTTGCAGCGGTGATGAGATGTCTTCCGTGGTTCCAGATATTTTTAGACGATCCGCGGAGTAGACGGTCAGAAAGGATGCGACCCGTGGAGCTGACGACATGCTAGGTGTCACATTTCATCTTGTTCTCTTTTAGGTCTCCATCATCAGCAACATGGAGTAGGGCAGGAACATTGCTTTGTTTTGCATGTTTCCTCTATACTAAGTGCAATGTGATTTCGGCCCCAAGCGTAACGCTGTGATGAGTGAAACATGGCAGATGAAATTAATAACAGCTAGCAGTACGCTGGCTTTACCGGACATGAGACAACGAAAACCGCATTTGCTTGTTAGTTGTGTTTTTGTTTGGCAATGTTTTGTGGCGCTGTAAGGTGGGGGTTGCATGTGTTGCATAGCCGGGACCAGCGGCGCCTTTGTGCCAGAGTCCGTGCATTGTCCATTCGTGGGGCGGAGCGCGGGCGTATCGATCCCTGTGGCCGTCCGCTGCCGGCGGCTCGGTCGGCCGACCTTCGTGGCACCCGCCCACCGACCGTCCGGCTCCCGGTCCGGACCGTCCCGCTCCGGTGACGTACCGTCCCGGGTCTGATGGCGGACCGTCCAGCTCCCGATCCGGACCGCTCAGGTCCGGTGACGGCCCGTCCCGAGTCTGATGACGGACCGTCCAACTCCCGGTCCGGACCATTCGGCTCTGGTGACGGACCGTCCCGCTCTGGTGACGGGCCGTCCTGGTCTGGTGACGGACCGTCCCGCTCTGGTGACGGGCCGTCCCGGTCTGGTGACGGACCGTCCTGGTCTAGTGACGGACCGTCCCGCTCTGGTGACGGGCCGTCCTGGTCTGGTGACGGACCGTCCCGCTCTGGTGACAGGCCGTCCCGGTCTGGTGACGGACCGTCCCGGGTCTGGTGACGGATCGTCTCGCTCTGGTGACGGATCGTTCCGCTCTGGTAACGGACCGTCCAGCTCTAGTAGTGGACTGTCCGGCTTTGGTGACAGACCGTCTCACTCTGGTGACGGACCGTCCTGCTCCGGTGACGGACCGTCCGGCTCTAGTGATGGACTGTCTGGCTTTGGTGACGGACCGTCCCATTCTGGTGACAGACCGTCCGGCAACGGTGGCAGAAGTCGATTTCGTAGCGTGGGCTTGGTTCCAGCGTGCTCGAGGCCGCCGCCCATGTCAAGCCCTCCCTTGCGTCCGACGAGGGTGACGCCTCTCATATGTGTGGATACACCTGGGCCATTCCAGCTGCGGTGCTGGTGCCCCAATCCCCAGGGCTGTGGCATTCCTGGGTGAACGAGGACTAACCGTAATGGCAAACAGGCAACCCAGTGCAATGTGCGTTGAAAGTTGGAAGTCCGGAGCCCGTGGTGACGGGCCTAGTGTTGGACGTACTGATCAAGGTCTTGGCCGTCGTCAAAGTGATGCACCCCGCCTAAAGTGTATGGTTGAATGTTTTTGCTGAGCTGTACGGCCAAAAGCAAGGTACAGGTGTTTGGTGGACTGTTTGTGCTTGAGAAGAAAAATTATGCAGACCTAAAACGTATGGTTGAATGTTTTTACTGCACTGTAAGGCTAAAAGCAAGGTACAGGTGTTTGGTGGACTTTTTGTGTTTGAAAAGGGATGATTCTGGTGACTTACGTAATACTGGTCGAGTGTTCGTCATCTTGAATTTGGGAGCCCAGTGTTGTATGAATGGCAAACACTTCTAATCTGGGCTTTTATTTGAAACGCTACCTAGGATGCCGAAAAGGTAATTATACCACGTATATTGTGATAGTTCCTCGCACTATCTGTTGTTAATTTGCATGTCCTGCGCTTTTTCAGAACCTACGCATGTGGTGTAATGTACATGCTATTTGAATGATTTGTGGATTTTAAGGTTTGACGCTGAAAAGCAATTGTTTTGGTTTTATGCCTTGACACATTTTGTTCATGTAGTCATAGGATCTTGCTAATGCTGCCAGAGGGCATCTGTAGATATTATATTCAATTCCTAGTGTTGTTTCGCTCCCCATATTCTACAGGACGAGTACAATGCTTGAGTCTCGCCGGCATGCCTCTGCTGCGTCCTCCCGCGTTCAGCACTCGCCTGGAGACACCCTGGCTCTGACGGCCATGCCGCTGGCAAACTGCTCGCCCATGCCGCTGAGCGCGACGCGGTCGCTGCTGAATGTGTGCAGTCCCGGCCGCGGTTCAGGCGGTGCAGTGCGCGGCCGCCGTGCAGTGCGGTGCGACCAGCATGCGTGCGCGGCGTGGTGGGGACATGGTCTGGCACGCTCAGGCGCGCTGGTGGCCGGCGACGGATGGGGTCCGGCTCCGCCCGACCGGACGCCGCTCAGCCGTCAACAGCGGCCAGGGCGCGCGGCCAGCATGCGTGCGCGGCGTGGTGGGGACACGGTCTGGCACGCTCAGGCGCGCTGGTGGCCGGCGACGGATGGGGTCCGGCTCCACCCGACCGGACGCCGCTCAGCCGTCAGCGGCGGCCGGGGCGCGCGGCCAGCATGCGTGCGCGGCGTGGTGGGGACATGGTCTGGCACGCTCAGGCGCGCTGGTGGCCGGCGACGGACGGGGTCCGGCTCCACTCGACCGGACGCCGCCCAGCCGGCACGGGGGACGGGGGGCGGAGGGCTGAGGAGGTCCAACGGACTGTCAAGTACTGAGGGCGGCGCACAAGAGGAGCCGGTCTCTGAGGTGCAGGCCGTGTCGTGTGTAGTGCAGGACTGCATGTGGCACGGTCAGTGGTCTGACATGCGCCGGGACGTCGGCTGTCTGTTGTTGTGGGCTCCTCGAGCTGTGCCGCGGCCCTGAACAGTCAGCGCACTCGGCCTCTCACTACTGCGCGAGCTCGCGGCCGCCGCCGCCGCGTCCTGTCGCCTCGTCCCTCGCGGCACAGCAAGCGCCGATGGTGGCAGGCCCGCGCGACGCCCGCCTCTTCCAGACGCGGGTGGGATGGCCGCGCTGTGAACCGGCGCTGCTGAGACTGACCTGTGACCTGACCGGTGACCCGACCCGTGACCAGCGCCGGTCGCGGCCGCCGCTGACACGCCGTCGCCGCTGCCGCAGGCTGCGGCGCCAGTTCAAGCAGCTGCTGGAGGAGACCAGCTATGTGACGCCCGGCAAGTCCCTGTCGGAGGTGCGCGTGCTGTTCCTGGGCCGGGAGTGTTTCGAGAGTCTGGCCGAAGACGAGCGACAGGAGATCTACGACATCCACCAGCGGCACATACTGGAGAAGGCCAGAGCCAACTTCCAGGTCAGTGGTCGGTGCAGGGCGGCCTGCGCGGCGCTGGCGGCGAGACATCAGGACCGAAGCACGCTGCTCTCTCCGTGACCGCCGGCTCATCACATTATCTGTCCGGTGGCATGTACAAATTGTAATGGCCTTGCTCATCGCAGTGTGTCGGACAGGATACTCAGATAAAGAGCCGTGGCGATGGGCAGGCGGTTGCAGTGTAGTTTTTGTCCTGCGTTCTAACTCGGCACCACCATGCCCATGCTGTGGCGTGATGACCGCTCTGTGCCGTGCCCTGGCGCGCGACTGCTCTGCTCTGCCCTGACGCCGGGATCTCACTCCCTGCCGTGACGGAGGGCCGCTGCCGTGGCGTGGGGCCGCTGCCGTGACGTGGAAGTGCTGCCGTGACGTGGGTCCGCTGCCGTGGCATGGGGCCGCTGCCGTGACGTGGGGCCGCTGCTGTGACGTGGGACCGCTGCCGTGGCGTCGGCCGCTGCCGTGAGCGGGCGGTCCGCTGCCGTGACGTCGGCCGATGCCGGGACGTGGGACGCTGCCGTGACGTGGGGCCGCTGCTGTGACGTGGGACCGCTGCCGTGACGTCGGCCGCTGCCGTGAGCGGGCGGTCCGCTGACGTCACCGACCGCCGTCGCCAGGAGCTGCTGCTGGAGCGAGCCGACCTCTTCTACAGCATCTCACCGGCCGGTGGCGGCGGCGCCCTCACCCAGGACCAGATGAAGGACATCACCGAGCTGCTGCAGGAGGATGTCAGGTCTGTTTGTCAACATGGTGAGGTCGCCACGCCAAGATCATGACGTATACCACCGGGGGTCTCCTTTGTCTTAGTTCGGTCATGTGGCGAGGCGAAAGAAAAGTGAAGCAAATGTGTCGATGAGTAATGCTGCGCATCAGATGCTCGTTACGAAAGGTCATGTTTGTTCATGCGGTGCGAGAAACTGCGTTTGGTGAGCTGCACAGATGCTCAACGGTGAACCACCACTGTAAACATTGTTAGCCGTGAGGTGGTCTGGTAAGCCAGAAGAGGCTTGGCAGTTACGTAGCCACCTAGTTGATGCATATAGTGTAGCAGCCTGCAGCGCGCATCAGTGGTGTCCGACCGGGCGCCGACACAGAGCACTGCCCAGCGGACCGGATCGAGAGGGGTGTGCGTCACGTTTGGTGTTTTGTGGTTAGCTCATGGGGAGTGAAACAGTCTTGCTGCAAGTGACTTGAGGTGGTCTCTGTCGTAACCCTCGCCAGGATCCTCGCTGTGCCTCGATCCTGATCCTCCCTGGTGTAGCAGCCACCGGTTTTTTCGGAGTATCCGCGCAATGTTCGACGCAGCATGATGGAGTAATGAGTCATACATGTCAATAGCTGTGGCTCTATGATGTCTTGAACGTGGAGTAACAACTACGATACAGCAGGCTGGCAATCGCCTATTGATGTAAGGCAACGGACATATTGTGATGTGTGCAGTGGGACATCAGATTATTGTCGGTTACGAGAGGTGAACATAGGTTTTCCTTTTTACTACCTGTGATGCATTTTCCCCATAACTTTCGACCCATTTGCGACGTTACATAGTCTTGCTTAGCTTAGATGCACTAAATACTTTGGGTCGCCTTTATCGTTTTTTCACAAGTGAAACCAAAGACGCAAACGGCCCAGCACCGCTTTGGTTAGCTGCCCGGCACAATGGGCGTCCAACATTCCCTGTAGCTGACCTCAGCCGTGTGCCGCCGGCGACTAGCGCCCACTCACCGGCCACCCCTGCCCCAGGTACAAGCTGCTGGACCGGTTCGAGCAGGAGCGGACGCTGCTGCTGCTCCAGCACCTGGGCTTCCTGCACCGGCCGCGCGCCGACCGCTGTCCGGCCGGACCCTACTGCATGGACCTGCTGGTGGCGGCGCTGCTGGCGGCGCGGCCGGCGCCGCCGCCGGGCGCCTCCGCTGCCGGCACGCACTGGGTGTTCGGCGGCAGCGACTCGCCCGTGCACAGCCTCAACGTGGTGCTGGTGGGCACCGAGGGGTCGGCGGACCGGCTCACGCAGATGTTCAGGGTCAGTGTTGGCTGGTGTTGAGAGTGGTGAGGTCACAGGACCGGGGGGGGGGGGGGGCACGTTGGTGGTCGGGGTCAGCGCTGGCTGGTGCTCAGAGTGGTGAGGTCACAGAACCGGGGGGGGGGGGCGGGGGCACGCAGATGTTCAGGGTCAGTGCTGGCTGGTGTTCAGAGTGGTGAGGTCACGGGACCGGGGAGGTCACACTGGTGTTCGGGGTCAGTGCTGGCTGGTGTTCAGAGTGGTGAGGTCACGGGACCGCGGGTCACGCTGGCGGTCAGGGTCAGTGCCGGCTGGTGTTCAGAGTGGTGAGGTCACGGGACCGGGGGTCACGCTGGCGGTCAGGGTCAGTGGCGATGGATGGGCATTGGCTTCCATGCAGGAGAACTGGTCGTAGTGGGATGATGCAGCTGATGCCATTTCGGTGGGAGTTACGCGGTAAGCGCCGGCGCGGTCCGAGGCCCGGGATCCGCAGTGATGGCGGCCACACAGCGCTCCGCCAGGGCCACGAACGGTGAGCACGGAGCGGCGGTCCCTCACACGTCCGTCCAGTGTCCGTCCAGGTCCTGCCCCTCTGCTCCCGTCCGTGGACGCCCGTGGTGTGCTGCCGGGGCTGATGCTCCGTGTGGCGCTGCTCCAGCTGCAGCTGGACGAGGACGAAGTGGAGATCGACGGCCAGTTGTTCAGCCTTGGCCTGCGCATCATCAGCGACGACACCAAGCTGACGCCGAGCGCCTTCTTCACGGCTGACTTCAGTCCGCACGGTAGGCGGCCGGGCGTTCCGGTGTCGTGACCGCCCGCTGTCGCGATTTGGTTGTCTACTTTGAGCTCGCCTGCGTGTGCTGGCTAGTGGAGTGCTCTCCTCAAGGGGTTGCGTGCGCCTGTGGGCTGACCGACATGTGGCCGCTGTGCGTGCTGTCCGCCAGGCTGCTTGTGCGTGTACTCGGGCGCCGCGTCGTTCGAGTACATCCGCCAGAGCGTGGAGAAGACGCTGCTAACCAGCCTGGAGGAGGAGGAGGACGGCCAGCCGCGGCCGCCGTTCCAGGGCCTGCCGCTGGTGCTGGTGCTGGCGGCCGACTCGCAGCTGGACAAGGCCGAGCTGGCCCAGCTGCGCCAGGAGGGCCGCAGTCTGGCCGACAAGTGAGTGGAAGAGCTCGTTGTCCGACCGACGGCGGTCCCCCTGGCTGTCCCCCTGGCGGCAGTGTAGCCGCGCTAGTCACTACACGCAGGCCGCCGGGCCTCCCCGGCCGCTCCTGCTGGCGTCGCACGTCCGAGCGTGCGCCGTGACCGTCGCGTCACGTCACGCCGTGCACGTATGCACTCGAGTCGCCAGCGCCTCGTCGGTCGGTCGATCGGTCTGTACTCGGGCCGGCCGGCCGTCCGTCCCGTCGCGCCGCCGCTGACCCCCGACGCCCCGCGTGTCGGCAGTCTGCAGTGTCCGTTCGTGGACTGCACGGCGCCGTCGGAGGAGGCGGCCGCCGAGCCGGACGCCGAGGACGCCGCCAGCGTCAGCATGAGCGACGACCGCCTGACGGCGGCGCTGGCCGCCCTGGTGCACAGCGTGCAGCAGCGCGCCGGCTCCGGCGGCGGGGCGCCACTGTACCCGGCCGGCCTCTCCGCGAGGGAGCCTGACATCAGGTAAGCGCCCGACGCCAGGCGAGAGACCGACAGGGAAGGGGTAACATCAGGGGAGGTCTGGACACCTGGTGATGGCCTGTACGCGAGGAGGCTGGACGTCAGGGGAGAGACCGACGGGGGAGGGGGTAACATCAGGGGAGGTCTGGACACCTGGTGACGGCCTGTCCGCGAGGAGGCTGGACGTCAGGCGAGAGACCGACGGGGGAGGGGGTAATATCAGGGGAGGTCTGGACACCTGGTGACGGCCTGTCCGCGAGGAGGCTGGACGTCAGGCGAGAGACCGACGGGGAGGGGGTAATATCAGGGGAGGTCTGGACACCTGGTGACGGCCTGTCCGCGAGGAGGCTGGACGTCAGGTGAGAGACCGCCACCAGGTGTGGGCCGGTGTGTCCGCCTAGCGGGGAAAGTGCTCAGTGCCCCTTCCGGTGCGTCATTTTGTCTGCGGTGTTCCAAAGCATGGGTCACACGCAGCGCCGATCTCGCCGCCGTTGCAGCAACCTTGCTGAATAGTTGTCTCACCCCGGATGGGATTTTTTCAGGATAATAATGTGCCTCTTCTGCGGTGATCCGTACTCGGTCGAGAATGTGGTCGGCGCCATTCTGTCAAATCAAACTTGTCAAACGCACGAGAAGAGCTCCGTCATACTGGACACCTTTCTTGGTAAGTCGGGCCCAGCGTCCTGTCCGGCTCCGACGACAGACTGCCGTGAGCGGCAGGCGGGCTAGGACTGGCCGTGCAAGATATGTCGGTGCTGTCACCCGGCCAGTGCGCATATGTTTCCCAGAGATTTGATGCGCCAGCTGACGCGGAATGCTGATAGTTTAGTGGTTCAGCTGCGCGTCCGGGACACGAGAGGGACGGGGTTCTGCTGTCCGCAGGCCTGCTCTTGCCGTCAGGGCTTCACGCAATACAGTCTCAGGAGCGTGGTGAGTGCGTTGTAAAACTCCAATGGCGACGACGATGACGATGATGGCAGACAAGCGTCGTTGCGCGTGCGGTCCTCCCGCCATGAAATACAAACCGCTATGCACAACCAACGTCGTCATCTTCCCTGGGCTTGTTTCGCTCCGTCCAGAGTCCGGGTCCGGAGATGTGTCCGGAATCCGGAGTCCGGAGTCCGGAGTTGGTAGTCCGGATTCCGGAGTCCGGAGTCCGGAGTCTGGAGATGAGTGCGGAGTGGGGACGCTATTTCGGCGCCTGTGCCGGCAGGCGACTGCCGACGCCGGGTGGAGGTGATCATCAGCTCGTACCACGGCGCTGCCGCCTACCAGGACGAGATGGTGCACGGCTTCGTCCTGGTGTACAGCACCAAGCGGCGGGCGTCGCTCAACAACCTCAAGTAGGCTGCCGCGCCGGCTCGCGCGCTCGCGGCCGGCCGCCGCGCGGTCCGTCTCGGGTCGCGTTGGACGGAAGTGACTTCGTGCTTGTCTATGGTGAAAGGACATTCATGGCTGATTTGTGAGGTGATGTGGTGGCGTGTTTATCTGCCTGATGCCGGTGTGTGTGTGCCTTGGCCGTACAATGCCACAGATGGTGGGCCAGCATCCACACCGTCGTCTCGCAGTGCTAATGCTGGCGACGGGCTGTCGCCTGTTCGCCACGCTGCGTCTCGCAGGCCCTATCCGGCAGCGGCTGACGGTAGCCGGGCGCACCGTGCGCCTCGTTGCAGCGTGTTCTCGGCGAGCGTGCCGCACCTGCCGATCCAGATCCTGGCGGTGACCGACTCGGGCGGCGCCAACGCGCTGTTCTCGTCCCAGCTGACGCACCAGCTCATCACCGAGGGCAACCACATCGCCGACCGGCTGCAGGCCCACTTCATGACCTCCACGTCCACCTGTCAGCAGAAGTCGGCCTTCTACCTCAGCTTCTTCAAGGAGGTGCGACAGGAGCCGGCCAGGAGGCTGGCGAGCTGGAGAGGGGAGGGGGGGGGGGGGAAGGGGGATGTTGCCGGGGATGGTGCTCGCGCGGCCGAGGCGCGCCTGCTGTGGCTCTGCACGGACCTCGGCATAAATTGAGTGCCTCTGGATTGGTCTCATTGGATGCGACTGGAGTTTGGGTGATGACCCCTGACCTACGACTGACCCACCTGTGGCTGCCACTGTCCCTTGGCGGACCCACCTGTGACTGACCCTGCCCATCACTGACCCACCCGTCACTGACCCACCCGTGACTGACCCACCTGTGACTGGCCCTGCCCACGACTGACCCTGTCCTTGGCTGGCCCACCCGTGACTGCCCCTGCCCGTGACTGAGCCACCCTAGACTGACCCCGGATGTCCGCTGCAGGTGTGGGAGAAGAAGCCGGAGATCGAGCAGGCGTTCGAGCTGGAGCGGGTGCGCCGGCTGCAGGAGGCGGACGAGGGGCCGGCGTTCCCGCGTGCCCTCACGCTCCACCAGCAGCTGGGCGCCGCCAGCAACGACGGGTACGTCCCCGGCTCCGTCTGGACCCACGCCAGCCCACACCCTGCCGTACCCAGACCCGAGCCATGACGAGCCCCAGCCCGTCACCGACTCAGGCTCATTGCTCACGCCTGGCAGAGTAGCGGTGCTCAGACTGGATCGACCGGTGCCAGACCGGCCCCGGCTCACTGACCGCGAGCTGTGAGGAGCTCATCGTTACGCCGGATCTTGGTCCGTCCCGTGGCGGTGAAGACGTGCTTGTGTGACAGTCTCTGCAGCACGGCAGCGGCTGATCTGAAACGACGTCCGTTCAGACCAGGCATGATGTTCAGACCAGACGCCCACCAGACACATGTTCTGACCAGGCGTTATGTGTGTCATGGTGATATTGAACAGCTGAGCGACTGCTGTGGCTTGGGACTGTCATTCAGCTGTGTGGCGGTCTGCACAGTGGTGCCCGGGTGACGACGTAAAGCGGTAGTGAGTGGCCAGTCATACGTGTGCCGTCGCGGCCCGGCGCCTGCTGCTGGACAGGAGCGGCTCGAGGCCGCCCTCTGCCTGCTACGAGCCATCTGACGTGTCCTGGCGAGCCGCTGGAGGCTGGAGCCGGCCCTGTGTGACCCGGCACTGGTCGGCAGGAGCGGCTCGGAGTTGTACGAGCGACTGCCGACGGACGGCTCGCTGGGCGACGAGCTGAACCTCTCGCCGACGCTGGACGAGCGGCCGCTGTCGGCCAGCGACGACGACAGCGAGCTGCTGGCCGAGCCGCCGACCCGGCGCCGACAGGCGAACGGCGAGCACGGGCCGCCCGGGCCCACGCCGACGGCCGCCCCGCGGACGCAGCCTCCAGCAGGGTGAGCGCGGCACGCCGGCGGACGCCGCGGGACGGCCGCGTACGGGGAGGGGGCGCGGGGTCCGCCGTCCGCCAGTGTCTCGGCGTCGGCGGCCACCGCCCAGTGCCGCGGCGCGCTGTGAGCGTGGTGGCGCGCGTGTGGGTGAGGGCGGGCTGGCGGCGCCGCTTCGGTGGGCCGCGCCGCGGCCCGGCCCGCTCGTCACGGTGGGCCGCCTGCTTTCAGAGCTGTTGTGTCAGTCGTACCCGAGCACGGAGTCGCTGCCGTCGTGTCTGTCGCAGCCGGCGCCGCGGCCGGCGCGCGCGCGCGCCCCCTTACGCCGCGCCTGCACCGAGCAGCTGCCGGCGCCGCCACCGCGCCTCCAGTTCTTCAAGGCCGAGAGTCTGGAGCTGGGTCGCCGCGCGCGTCCCGACACCGGTACACAGCCCGCCCTCACCCGCCCCGGCGCCGCCCCGTCCCGGGGCGCGCCCGCATGGCCCGCTTGTAGACGTTCCGTTGACGTTTTGATTTGTTCTGGGACGGAATGGTCGGGCGTTTGTGTTGCGGCTAGAGCAGTTCGAATGCTTGGCGTGTTGAGTTGCAGCAGATGGCAGGTGAGCAGGCGGTCGTCCCTTACTAGTACTGTCTGCTCCCGCTTCCGCCCTGTGTGAGTGTCCAGCGCTCGGACAGATGGACAGACTTCGCGAATGGTTACAGGGGAAACCAGCTTCTACGTCTACGCGCAGTTCGGTCGTCGTTCAGCACAACCAAGACTCCATAAGCATTATCGGAGTTGTATGACGCGTGGCCTGTTGATCACTGGCGCGTGCGCAAATCAACTGGATGAGTTCAGGGTTTTTGGGCGGATGAGCTGTTCTGAGTCAATGGGGACGTGGCTGTTACGCGGGCTGGGATAGCCTCTCTTGGGTCGTGGAGCCGGCCTGCACCGCCGGCGGCGGGGCGTCTGCCGTTGTGTGACGCGCTGTCTGGGCGGCAGGGTTCCGCGTGTTCCCGGCGCCCACCACGCCGCCGGAGCCGGCGCCGGGCGGCGGCGCCGACCTGCCGCGCGCCCATCAGCCGCCGCCCGCCGCCGCCCGTATCTCCAGCTCCGACTCGGAATGTAACCGGCCGTTTCTCCCCGTTTCTCGCTGTGCCCTCGGCCCGCCTGCTCCGTTCGTTCGTCCGTCCGTACGCCTGCGTGTCGTGGTGCGCATGCGCGGTCCGTCCGCGGTCGTCGCGTCACCCCTGCGGCGGCGGCGCGCACCGGCGCGCGCCGCGCCTCACCCTGTAGACGACAAGACAGTGCATGCCTCCACGCCGGGCCCGCAGGCGGCGGCCGCTGCTCCCGTAGACCGCGCCGCACGCTCGGCGCCCGCACCGGGCAGGCGGCGGGGTTAAAGGCTCGAGCCTGGCGCCGGCCGCCCCCGCTGCCACCGCGGAGTCGTCGCTCTCCAGCCGGGGCGCTGTGGGCTCTAGGCGGCCGCCGACGGGGTGGGGTGGTTCCGCAGCTGCTGCCGAGGGCTTCCGTATCACGTTGTATATTTTTTCAGCACAACGTCCCTGTAAATGGGTAATTTTCAGCCTGCTATTTTGAAACTATTTGTGTAACGGCTTAAAGGCCTGTGCAAGCAGACTTGACTCTGAATGAATATGTTACGATGGCATTCTTCACTTTCGCTGTTGTGTTAGACTGGCATGAAACTTTTGTTGATCTTAGACTTCCCAGTGCCTCAGAAGTTCATAAATGGTCAAGGTTAGAGGTGGGCCAAACGGCATAAAATCCAGCCGGAGGCAAACTAAGAGCATTCTGCCCAGCTGAGTCTGGTTGCATACTAGATATTAGCTCCACTCGCATGCCTGCATGTCGTGGCTGTGTGCGATGTCACCGGCTCGAGGTTCCAGAGCGGCAGACGGTATCACGCCATGTGATCTATAGGGTGTAAATCCATCAGGTTACAGCTGTAAATGTGCGCATCATTTGTGGGCTTTGGTTGGATTCCGCTCAGTGTTGTCTGAGGTTCGTCGTAGCACAGCTGCCGAGCTGGGTATTGCAAGCCCACGTCCTGAGTTGTTCTTCCCTGGCCAGGTTATTCGTCCCATTTGAACGCATTCCCCGTGCCATGGCTGGGACGAAGCAAACTGTATCAGCCGGGGTCACTGGCGTTGGAGCCTCTCGGCGTGAATTCCGTGGCCCCGGTGGACCGTTAGCTACGCAGCTAATGAGCTAATAGTTTTGTCGCACGCTCCTGCCGCATGGGCTCCCATGTGTGCCATGCAGTTGTTTGGTATCCACTGTTTGTAGTCTGCATCCACGCCACGTTCCTATCGTATGGTCGTGCCACAGCACTCACTGTTGAACCACTACAGCCGATGTCATCTGTGTAGATTCTGGCTGCTGGAAATGGCTGCTTTAGAATGGTGTTGATGATAATTGATGGAACAACTTCTCTCTTCCTGGCAGCCTCGAAGACTGGTTTGTGTTCATATCGGGCATGTCAAAGGTTTTTGGCGCTTGTTATTTTCGATGCTTTGCTCTGGGTTGGGATTATTCGGCTTAGGTAAGCCACGCTAGCTGGGTGTGTTTGACATGGAGCCCCCTCGTTCTGACGTGCCCTGGTGTGACAGGTTGGCTGAAGAAGTCTGGCGTAGGGCTGCCCCTGTTATGATGTGGCCGCGCTATGCTGATGACAGCAGTTTAGCGAGGGGCCGCCGCTTCCTGAGGCTGCAGCTGTCTGGCTGATATGAGGAGTCCACGTGGGAACGTTCTGTTGCGATTGTTTCAGACTGGCTGAGGGAGTCTGGTACATGGCCACTGTGCTATGTTATAACTGTACCGGGTTAGCTGGAGGATGATGCGGGGCCGCCATGGTCCGGTGCGGTGCCAGGCCACGCCACGCGCCTGGCCGTGAGCCGCCAGCCGTGACCGTGCCAGTCGTGACTGCCTAGCATGACTCCCGTGTTGTGATGTGACCGTACCAGGCGTGGCAGGCTGGCTGGAGGAGCCGTGACAGGAGCCTGGGGACCGCCGTGTTCTGACCGTGTGGCGGCGCCAGGCTGGCTGGAGGAGTCCCGTGTGAGGCCGCCGTGTTCTGACCGTGTGACGGCGCCAGGCTGGCTAGAGGAGCTCCGTGTGAGGCCGCCGTGTTCTGACCGTGTGACGGCGCCAGGCTGGCTGGAGGGGACTCGTGTGAGGCCGCCGTGTCCTGACCGTGTGGTGGCGCCAGGCTGGCTGGAGGAGCTCCGTGTGAGGCCGCCGTGTTCTGACCGTGTGACGGCGCCAGGCTGGCTAGAGGAGCTCCGTGTGAGGCCGCCGTGTTCTGACCGTGTGACGGCGCCAGGCTGGCTGGAGGGGACTCGTGTGAGGCCGCCGTGTTCTGACCGTGTGACGGCGCCAGGCTGGCTAGAGGAGCTCCGTGTGAGGCCGCCGTGTTCTGACCGTGTGACGGCGCCAGGCTGGCTGGAGGAGCTCCGTGTGAGGCCGCCGTGTACTGACCGTGTGACGGCGCCAGGCTGGCTGGAGGAGCTCCGTGTGAGGCCGCCGTGTTCTGACCGTGTGACGGCGCCAGGCTGGCTGGAGGAGACTCGTGTGAGGCCGCCGTGTTCTGACCGTGTTGCGGCGCCAGGCTGGCTGGAGGAGACTCGTGTGAGGCCGCCGTGTTCTGACCGTGTGACGGCGCCAGGCTGGCTGGAGGAGCTCCGTGTGAGGCCGCCGTGTCCTGACCGTGTGACGGCGCCAGGCTGGCTGGAGGAGACTCGTGTGAGGCCGCCGTGTTCTGACCGTGTGACGGCGCCAGGCTGGCTGGAGGAGCTCCGTGTGAGGCCGCCGTGTTCTGACCGTGTGACGGCGCCAGGCTGGCTGGAGGAGACGAGTGCCGGGGCACGCCAGCTACCTGCGGACGACGTGTGGCTGGAGCGGAGGCAGCTAGCGCCGGCGCACGCCTACACTACCGGCCGACAGCGGCCGCCGCCACCGCCTAAACCCAAGGCTCAGGCCGGACAGGTGGGTACGCGCGATCGACGAGAACACGGCGGCAAACCTGCATTCAGCCTAGCGGGCTGTCGGATGCGCTGTTTTTCTGGCAACATGGGACGCGTGGGGTGGGGGGGGGGGGGGGGGGCTAGTGCATAGGGGCGTTTAGTAGCGCAACGACTCGGGGCTGTAACACGGCTGATGCCAGGTCATGCAAATTTTCTATAGATGCTGTGAGTCAGCAATCGTCTGCGCCTGTCTTTAAGCATCTCTGGTCCTGTTGCTGTGATCTGCTGTTATCTAAGTCAACGTGACTCTAACCCTGCCGCCGCCCAGCAGCCCGGCAAACTGAACCTGAAACAGTACACGAGCGTAGTGGACACGCTGGAGAAGCTGAACCTGACGAACCGCGCTGAGCCGCGCCGCGGCCGCGCGGCCGCCGGCTTCTCGCAGCAGCCGGGCTCCGAGTACGCCCAGGTACGGACCGACCTCTGCCGCCGCCGCCGCTGCCTGTGCCGGCGACCGCGGCGGGTAGGAGCAGGGCCCGGCGACGTGTCGGTTGCTGCTTTGCGCCTCCGCATCGCGCCCGAGAGTAACTGTGATGGTCCATGGAGAATGACGTGGTCGCTACTCGACACATATTAAGCCACGTAAGAGCGCAGCGGGTCATGCCGGGACGTAACGGCCCCGAAGCGTGGCCGCCCTCTGCCGTGCTTGCCCGAGTCGGCGGCGACGCTGACCGAGCCGCGAGCGTGACTGCAGCCGCCGGCGCCGCAGGTCAAGGACGCCCTGTTCTTGGGCGGCAAGTTCGACGGCGACTACAGCTACACGCTGGCGCAGGACGCGGGCGGCCACAGCGCCAAGGCGCGCCTCCGGCAGCGGACCGAGAAGTGCCGCCAGTGTGAGTGCGCTGGGGGAGAGCGGCTGGGCTGGCTGCTGGGCGGCGGAGTCCGCCGGGACCGGCGCTCGTGGCGGGGCTGAGCACTGACGGCTGACTTGACAGCTGACCTGACCTGACCTGACCTGAGCTGATGATCTGGCCCGCGATAATGGCCCCGGAGGACGGCGCCGGCACCGCCTGTAGTGACTGCTGTGATCAGTTGATGTGTTAACCGGACCTCCCGTGGTTCTGGCTGCTGCGTGTTGTTCCGGGCACTGTTTGCTGGTGGACACACGCTTCCTTTAGCACTCCGACACCACTATTTCTTGTCTCAGAGAAACTTTACTGTCTGTGCGGTTAAACTAGGGACAAAGTCGATAAGTTAGTAAGTGGAATGGATGCTGTAAGAGACGCAGCTTTTACCGCAGCCCCATCCGGAGTATGGTGCACAGCGCCAGCCTGGGAAAAAGATGGCTATGCGCTGAGACTGGACGCTGGTGGCGGGGCGGCGGCTGCTGCTTTCCTCCGCCTGGGGTTGGCGCTGACGCAGGGCGACTGCTGCTGGCTGTGACCTCTCGAGTTGACGCTGGTGTGGGGGTGCCGCCGTCTCACTGGCGCCGTCTCAGGCTGCGGTGCGTGCGCCGCGGCCGCGCACTCAGCTGGGCGCGGCGTCCGGTGCGCCGCGCCGCCGTCGCGGTGCGTGCGGCGGCTGACGCCGGCCGGCCGGCCGGCCGCCGGTGTTGCAGACACCACCGACTCGGACAGCGAGCCGAGCCCGGCCGAGCCGTGCGGCCCGGCGGCGCCGCGCCGCACGCCGCCCAAGCGCAGCCGCCGCCGCCGCCAGGCCATCCCGGTGGCGGCGCCGCGCGTGCCCAGCCTCGACGGCCGGGGCAGTCCGTTCGCGCTCGACGACCGCGCCGAGCGCACCGAGCCCGAGACAGGTGGGCAGGCGGCGCGGCTCGGCGGCGTGCGCCGCTGCTGGACGGCCGGGCGTGGTCTGGACCCGTGGCGCGTGGCGCAGAGTTGCCTGGCGGCGTCGACAACGCTTTTCCGCCACGGACAGCCTGGCGTTTTTGCAGTGCATGCTTTCGCGCTGTCCGCTTGCATGGCTGGTCCGGAGTGGCCTTTGCTCTCGACAGGCTGTTAGCCTGGTCCATAGTGAGCTCCAGAATCTGGCCCAGATCGTACCGGCTGCATGCTCTTGAAGTCGCCCTTGAATGGCCTGCCGTATGTGCGTGAGTACGGCGCTTATCCGTCAGCAAGTATAGTTGGCAGCCCGCCCTCCCCGGCCGCGATTTGGTTATAATGTTCAAAGCTGAATACCTCCAACGCCCGACAATGGCATAAACACCACGCAGTCTAGAACGACCGCGATTTCGTGGTGCATGCGTCGCCGTTCGAAGCCGTGGTGAACCACGCGGGCTGGCGCTCGGGAAGGGGTCGTGCATGAGACTTTCTGAACCTTGCATGGGGCAAAGGGCGCCAAAGGTGTGCATGGCCTTGCGCCGCTCACCTCGGCCTCCATTCCGAGTTAGGGCCGCCAGCGACCGGCGCCTTGCATAATTCAACAGTGGTGTGCCCTAGAGGTCTAATAGTAATATAGCACAGAGGGCTTACGGCTTATAAACGGCATACGGCTTTGCTGACTGCGATCGGGTTTTCTATTTCTGTCCGCCCTTCTGATAAACTACGATTCCTCCGCCGGCATAGACTATTGATAGATGTCAGCCCAGCCATTGGTTATCAAATCATTGGCGCCAACCCAACAGATGAGCTGTCGCCGGCAAGCTGGGGAGTCCCAAATCATCTCGACACAGCCTGACAGCCTCTGAGCAATGTTTGCGCTGTGATGCATGCGGTGTTGCTGCCGTGACGCCTCGGCGGCAAGCCTCCGCGGGCTTTCCGGGCTGCCGCGCCGCACCACCGGTCTGGCTACTGCTTGTGAATGGCGTACGCTTAGTTTTGTGTCTTTCTCTGTCAGCATGATCGCATGGGTTTGCTGGTGTTTGCTTTTGCCGCGTCCGTCTAATGGCAACCGGCATATCACACTGGAGTCGCACTCATGCTTTCATGCTGGACCTTGTCTGAAAATGCGTTGGGTCTCGCTGCAGTCATAACGTGTCTCAAACAATCGCCCAGAGAAGACAGCTGCTGGCAGACGTGTGGCAGTCGTTCGCTAGCGGCCGTGACTCGTGCCGTCGCGCGGGAGCACTGTGGCACGTATGAGACTTGTGCCGGCCCGCGTGTGACCCCTGACGCCGCCCCGTCGCCAGTCCTGGGCGGCAGCGACTCCGAGGAGTCGGCCGCCGAGGAGGAGGGCACCTTCAGCCGCCAGAAGTACGCCAGCAGCTCGGTGCGGCTGCGGCGCACGGCCGCCAAGCGCGCCGGCGTGCCGGCCGCCATCCCGCAGGTGCCGACGCTGCCGGCGCGCGCCGCCGGCTCCCCACTGCGTGAGTACTGGGCTGAGCTGGCCTCTGGCAGCGCCGTGTGTGGTCTGTGCGGCTGGTGCGTGAGGCTCGGGTCCAGCCGGCCTCTGGTGGCGCCATGTGAGGTCTGTGCGGTTGGTGCGTGAGGCTCGGGTCCAGTCGGCATGTGCTGACGTGGCTCGCTTGATTTTTGCACACCAAAAACACGAGCATTGCTTATAGAGGGAGGTTTTGATCAGCGCGTAAGCGTCATAGCTGTGTGTGACGTTTTTCCTTGCATTATTGCGGAAGCGCAACCTTTTCGTGGCCTCTGTCCTGGTGTAAGTCACTCCGTCCATTCACAAACCTGGCGACATGCGTTTCCATTGCAACGCCATCCCACTGTCCGTAACACTGTACAGCTGGCGGGGTCCCGCCAGCTTGCGGCTCTCCGGATATTCCTGACTGAAGTCCTGACAGAACAGCCCCGTCCAGACTGACAGGCTGCTGTGGATTTCAGCCGCCAAGTCGAAGTCTGAGTCGCCGCGGGAGGGCGTAAACAACGAGGAGTCTAGTCTGGACGTGTCGGTGTCGGGAGACTTCAGCTCTCCTGTGCTGGTCAGTAGTGAACGGCGTCAACAGCGAACAGAGTGGCCTGCACTCTTCGGTGTGGGGATATTTCAGCTCTCACGTACTAGTCAGTTCAGAGTAAGGTACTAGCGATTGATCGAAGTCTAGACTGGACGTATCAATGCCGGGGTATCTCAGCTTAACTCCTGGTTAGTAGCGAACAACTTGGAGCGCATTGCTAGGGACAACCGGTCGCGCTTTAAACCAGTGTTGTGTGCCGCTGTGCCAGTGGTGTTCGGTCACACCGCGAGAGCTCACAGCTGTCAGTCAGACGTCAGCTCTGGCGTCGCTGTGCCAGTGATGTGTGGTCACACCGCGAGAGCTCACAGCTGTCAGACGTCAACTCTGGTGTCGCTGTGCCAGTGATGTGTGGTCACGTTGTTTGTTGACGTCGATGGTGCAGTAGTGTCATGACACTGAGATGGTGCGGATGGTGCAGAGGTCCGGTCGCATTGGACGCTGGTGACTAGGGAACATGACTTTTTGTCTCTGTTATAGCGATATCCGAGGTTGCGGTCGCCTAGACGCTCGATTTTGTGAAGAGACCGATCTGGGCGGTCGAGGCTTGCGCATGAGGCTCATAATAACGTCTTTTCAGTCCGCCAACGCCGCTAAAGAAGAGAAACTGAGGCGAAAGGATAGGCAGCGGCAATTAAAGGAAGAGGAAAAGAGGCGTGTAAAGGAAGAGGAAAAGGTGAAGAAGCTGGAAAAGGAGAGGCTCAAAAAGGAGAAGCATAAAAAGGGGAAGACGTCGACCTCGTCGTCGCAATCTCAGGTGAACGATCTGGATTGCAAGCCTTTGTCACAAGGACCAGTTTGATCAATTCATCGCACCCATTTAGCCATCTCGTTTAACTGATGTGGTGCAGTGCAGCTGCTGAGCTCAATACTCTTGATAGCTGGTCCAGCTGCTGCCGAGCAGCGGACAGCTGACCGTAACCGTGCGTTTCCCCGGCATCACACGGTCACGTCACGATAACACACGTGTGACCGTGCCCCTGTGACAGCTGGAGGAGCTGGTGCCGGGCGGCGGCGCCGGCGGGCAGCTGCCCGTGTTCCTGACGCGCTGCGTCGAATACATCGAGGCGGAAGGCCTGGACGCCGAAGGCCTGTACCGCGTGCCTGGCAACCGAGCGCACGTGGACCTGCTGTTCGAGCGTCTCTCCGAGGACAGCGGGGCCAGCATCGCTGACCTGGACCTGGCCGTCAACGCCGTGGCCACGGCGCTCAAGGAGTTCCTCTCCAAGAAGCTGCCGCCGCTGCTGACGCAGGACAAGATGGCCGAGCTCACCAGCATCGCCGGTAGGTGCTGGCGCGATCGGACGCCCAGCTTGGGTGTGACGCCTGAGGCAGCGGGGATTGTGGGAAGGTTATGATGATAGGGAGGGGGACACCGTGGATGAGCTGCAGGAAATTGAGAAAGCGCGGTTTATGTAGTCATCAGATCCTTGCCGTCATTGTGGCGTTTTCTCATTGGCAGTGTTGACCAAAATCAAGACTGGACGATATGGAACATTTTTTGTCTATTCGTTCATATCTCTTTTCTTTTTCAATTTATTTGCAAATCACAACACACACAATCTGAATCACCACAGGGAGACAATGTGTATAATGATTGATCGCTCAGAATACCCGGCAATCATATACCTGATATGATTATATACCGGGTATTTTATACCGGATTATATACCGGAATACCCAATCATACCTGATACGTCATCGCAGTCTGTCATACGAGCACATCACTTCAAATAATTGCTCACACATAACAATACCTACAGCACGGTTCGCGTTTGGCCCACAATGCCTAGTTCTCGCGTGCTCGTTTTGGAACGGGTGTTACTACGACCCCCCACCGCTATCACACACAGCATAGTATACCGCGAATGGTGCGTGCAGCAAATGCGCGAATACGTATACACAGGTGTAAGTGGGTGGTGTGCGTATTTGTGGTCTGAGAGCATGCGTGTGTTACAGAATACGTGCATATCTACCTGAGTTGTGTATTGCGCGGCACAGGCGCGCGCTGCGCACCATAATTTTATGATAAGTTGTTAAGTGCATTGGTGCCCGTAGATAAAAGACAGCAGTAATGACGTTATTCCTCGGAGAACACCAGGAGAATGGAGATATAGATTCGTTGGTATTTCGGCAACGTGCCGTTATCGAAACAAAAGCAGAAGTGAATTCCTCTTAGAAAATTTAAAGGTGTGGGGTTCCAGGCATGACTCGCAAGACAAGCCCTGCTCTTTCCCATTTGTTAAAGTTATTCGTTTCGCTACGTAATTCGGCGGAACAGCGCTCTTTTGTGTTTTTAGTTCCAAAAGGCTTAGGAAACGTCCTATTTGTGGTAGTACTTTCCTCAGATGCGCCTTTAAATGATGAGTTCGGTTAATGTAATAAGAGTGTCAATGCTACTCGTGCTTTGTAGGTTGGGAAACATCCACTGCCTCTTGTCAAAGTGTAGTCTTACGTCAAATTCTTCGGATATTTTGGTGTAAACTCCTCAGAGGAAATCCTGTATTCTGAAATAATCCCAGTATAAATGTATTAATGTTTCAGCTGAATGCGAGCAAAATACGCAGTAACTACTTTCTGATCGACCAATTCTGTGCAGCAAAAGATTCGTTGGGATTACTCTGCTGATCATGCCGACATGAAAATAAGAAATGAACAATATGGAACATGGCCCGCCAATAGCCTAACGTTGCGCGCTAATGTGCCCCTCCCCCCCCCCCCCCCCCGTTTGCCCGAGGAGCGTAATAAGCCAGAAAGTTGCGATTCGCCTGTTTACAGTGTCTCGTTGGTGCTGAATGCGGTGTAAAGTGGAGGGATAATTCGTGTGAAGTACGCCCGTGTTCGGCCCATCATTTGTGTGCAGTGGCGCTGAAGCTTTTGGATTGGTTCCCGGCTGAGTGCGCTGTTTTGTTTCAGGTATATCAGATCGGCGAACTCGACTATTCAAACTGCGGGTTCTTCTGAAGGATCTTCCTCCCATTAACTTCAACATCCTCAAGTATCTGTTTCGTCACTTCCTGAAGTAAGTGGCTCTTGCGACTCGTGCCGCGGTGCGGCTATTCACGTGTTACACGCGCTCGTGTTGCGCGGGAGCCCAGCGTCGCTACCAAACAGTCGTAGAGCGATGTGGTGCGCTTTTGGGCGTGTGCGTATGAAAACGAACGCGTACGTCATGTCTTGTTTGCAGAGAGCCGTGTAGAAGGCCTGCATTAGAACAAATGGTACGGTAGTGGTTGTTTTCTTGGTCGTAAGTTACCTTTACGCCGTCTTGCGGCGAGTCAGGCTCTGACAGATTAGGTTAACCACGACAGAGGTCTGTTTGCCATCGTGCAAGCCCGCCGGGCTGTGCTGTCGTCCCGGCTCCGTCCGGGCTCAGCTCACCGTCGTCTCACTGTCACACCATGCCCGTCCTGTCATCCTCCGTCGTCACACGTCCCGGCTCCGTTTGGGCTCCAGCTCGCCGTCGTCTCACTGTCACACCATGCCCGTCCTGTCATCCCCCGTCATCATACGTCCCGGCTCCGTCTTGGCTCCAGCTCACCGTCGTCTCACTGTCACACCATCCCTGTCGCGTCGTCCTCCGTCGTCATACGACGTTCAGTTGCTCTCACATGTTAGACCCCCGTCTGGCCCATCTGACCCTCGCACAGTCATGTGCTTTGCATCTGAATCTCCCCCTAGCTTCATCTTCGCCTGGTTGTACCGCGCCCGGCTACTATTGTCATCCATGATAGTCACCTGAATTCCGTCCAGTCTTCACGTCCTCATCGTGATCGCCACTGAGCGGGCCCCAGTGTCATCGGACGTTTGCTAAGCCAAGAACTTGTGTCAGCTAGTTAGATAATTAGTTGGCCGCTGATTACTTGGTACAGTTACCGCAGTGACGATGTCTACGTTATCTGACTCGGGCGTCCCCCGCCGTCAGGGTGTCGGAGAAGTTCAAGCTGAACAGCATGGACAGCAAGAACCTGGCCATCTGCTGGTGGCCGACGCTGCTGCCGCTGCAGTTCACCGACATGGGCGTGTTCGAGTCGATGCGGCCGCACCTGGAGGACATCGTGCAGACCATGATCGACCAGCACCAGTACCTGTTCGACGGCCAGGAGGAGCTTATGATGGTGTGACCCGAAGGCGGCGTGAGTCGCGCCGCCGCCGCCGCCGTCGCTGCCGCGCCGCGCCCTCGCCGCGCCGGCCCCGCCGCCGCCGCCGCCGCCCTCCGCGCTCGCCACCGGCCGCCCTGAGCGGCCGCGCCGCGCCGTCCAGTGCAAAGGTCCGCACTGATGACCGCCAGAGAGAAAGAGAGATATAGAGAACGAGTGAGAGAGAGCTTACGGGGCGCTTCACTGTGATTTCGGCGGGCGCGCAGTCTTCCCGGCCGGGGGTCGGGGACTGGCCATCCGGCTCGGCCCGGCCCGGTCCCGGCGCGTCGCGTCACGCCACGTCACGTCACGTCGCGTCACGTGACCGGCGCGGTCGACCTCCAGCACAAATGTCCCTCAGCTCCGGGCAAAGAGAGGCTTGCGAGTGGGCTTAAAACGCGGCCGGCTGTCCGCCGCGCCGCTGAGCCTGTTAATTTCTTACCCTTGTTTTTATAGTGAACTGCTGACTGTCAACGGCGGCTTGTGTGGGAACTCGATGGCCAGGACTGGTGGGACGTTCTGGCTCGCAGCGGGCGAGCCAGAGAACCGCGCCGTCCGTACCGAGTGCGTTTTGTAACCGTGTGCCGGCGTGTGAAGGGTCGGTGGGCTCAGTCACCCACGTGTAAACTGCCGTCGTCCTCTCTCCACACGCCCCCGGGTCCCAGGCTGTCTGGCACCGGCGCGGCGCTCACTGTTGCCGATCTGAGCGCACGGCTTCGGACATTTGCACACGGCCGTCGACTGGCGGTGCGTTGCGACGGACGGGGTCGCTTATACTCGTTGTCCACCTTTGCGATTTTTTTGGTTTACTGTGAGGCTGTGATGTGTATGTTTAGGTTGATGGTGGACGACAATAATCGGTGTTTAGCGTACGCTGCCCGCCGGCGTATCGTCGGGAGCACTAACCGCCCTCTCCCTGCCCGCCGTCGGTGCGCACGCGCGCGCGTGTGTGAGCGCAGGGTGGCCGGAGCCGACTCCGGCCCGCCAGCGCCCGGCCGGTCCGGCAGCGTCCGCGCCACGCGTCGCCGGGCGACCGCCGCACCCCGCCGCACCCGAACCCACCCAGTCGGCGCCTCCGCCGCCGGCCGCCCGCCCGGCATCGGCCGTGATATTACAGTGTTGAGTCCGTGCATGCCGCTTGTGGGTGTAGTCGTCGTGTTGCGCCGGGCGCGGTCCGTGACGTCACGCCGGGTGGGTCAGCGCCCGGCCGGCCCCGGTCACTGGGAGACGGGTGTCAGTCACCGGCCGCACCTGTCCGGGTGTTCTCGGCGCGGTCGGGCCGCGCCCGCTGTCAAGTGTTTCCTCACTTGTACCGATTGGTAAATATTATACATAAAACAAGACTCGGTGTGTTCCTGCGACGGGCTCAGGCATGTGCCCGTCCCGTCCGGATTATGCGTCGGTGAACAAAGTAAAGACCTTTGATTCAGATGACTAGGGTCTGGCGCCGTTGGCGTCTGTTTTGATATGTTGGGATGGTTCGCGGTCGATTGAAAACAGCCAAATGTGGGATGTGCACATGCATGGAGGATTACATAGCTGCTGATCGTGCGTAACACTACGGTCGGCGCGAAGTATACGTCGCAATCCACGATCGCGCGCGTCCGATCATCAGGAACAGGAACTAACGCAAGCAGGAACTAAATCAACAGGAACTAACTCCTGTTTGTTCGCTGACATGAAATAAACTAAAAACAAATATATTGCAACTAAGATAGCATGTTGTTACCCTTCACCTCCCGCTGCACGATCGCGGTCGACAAGTAGCAATTTCGTACAGAAAAAAAAACGCTTCCGCGAGGCCCAAAATTCGCGCGCAAGTTGAAGCACGGATCTGTCGTTTGCGAAGCGACATCGCTTCGCCCCCTTTCGCCCGCCCGCCCCCTCCAGGGGGCGGAGAGACAAAAAGAGAGACCAGAATGATCGTCCCCATGTGCTGTCTTTTTCCAACACATAGATCCATCTCGCCGGGCGGTGCACCTCGCCACCGCCGACCCGGGCGCGCGCCGGTCGCACCGGCCGTCCGGACCGGGCAGCACCTCTGACACGCGGCCAAGCGACCATCGATCGCGCGGCACCTCGTCTTCCACTTCGTTACCACGGGCCAGATTCGTGGCTTCGCAGCGGTCCTTTCCGACGCTCTTTTGAGTCCCGCTCTCGTGGTATCCAGCCAACGTAGTTGCTTTTCTAACAGCTCGTCCTTCGCGCAAGATGATCTCCTGCGGCACTATTGAGCCCAGTGTCACTCACCAAGACACATGAAACAGTGCTTGCTGTCTCGCGTAAGTTTACGTTTGTCGCCGTGACACATGTCCTGGAACTGCCGACACTCTTGCAGTCAGAATACGTATGGAATTTTTCACAGGTAACATGGAATAAGTCTGCCCTGCCTATGGTCTTCAGACTGCTTCGGGCCGTCCAAAACATTTTTGTTACATTACAACGTTACGTTCCGGCCACTATCCGGCTCAGGAGACCGAAATGTTAGTTCGCTAAAATGAAGCGAACGAAAAACGAATATATCACAACTAAAATAGCATATCATTACCATTCACCTCTCACTGAACCACCGCGGTCGACAAGCAGCAATGTCGTACAGGAAAACACTTCCACGATACTCAAACTTCGTGCGCAAGTTAAAGCACAGATCTATCGCTTGCGAAGCGACAGCTCCTGTCCAGAGGACGGCTCTATCCAGCTGGTGCTGAGCCCAGCCGAGCTGACTGGAAAGCTTTCCCCGGCACGACCTGTCCGACGTTCAGAGGCGTGTAGCGCACTCGCTCCAGTCCAACCGCGGTGCCGTCAGCCTGCGCTGGGCTCGGCGCATCAGCAGAAGCGGAGGCGCATGTTGGCTCTTCCAGACGGTCCCTTGGGCACCATATGTGGACACTGAGACACGCGCCGAGTTCCCCTTGGGTGGTCCCTCTGCGCCCCGGCCCCTGCTCTGGCGATCGTCCAGTTCCCTCCAGCTGGCGCCTCGGTACCACGGGCAAACACTCGGAACAGTGCGCAGCCCCCTCCGGCCAAGCTACCAATGCCGTCAACCGACGCTCAGACACGTGTCCAGTCCCTAAGCGCGCTCCTCAGTACCGTCAGCCGGCAGGCCAACGCGTGGTTAAATCCACCTATCCCCTCGGTGGCGTCCGAAGACAAAGCGCATGCTCCCATCTGCGGCCCGTCCGTCGCCCCGGGTCTGACCCGCGGGCCTGGTGTGTCAGGCGGCCGGCCCCCGAGTTGGCTCCGATTCCGCCAGTTAAAAATAGGCCCGCCGCCTCCGCCCGGGAGCGCGGTGCGGTGCGGAGGAACGGCGCAGTTGCCGGTCCGTCGGCTACGCCCCGCTCGCCGCGCTCTCCTCCGCGGCCGACTGGTGAGTGTCTACGTGCGGATTGTTCTCGGGCCCAGCTGTTCTCTGGCCGGTGATGCCGTCCGCACGGCCGGCAAACTGATGTAGACCGGTCACCGCCGTGTCGTGTGTTGAATGCTCATTGATCGCGCAATTTGGCTTGCTACAGCAGTCCTGTTCATTTTATTCCCCTGTTAACGTCACATCATTGTGACTTCCGCCATAGGCGAGTATACCTACTCGGTGCCCATATTTGGTAGGCATCAATATGCCTGAGAAATATTTGGCATCCATTGTAGCCTATCTCGAGTCTGCACATCTCGCATGGAAGGCTCAGCTGCTCTCAGAAAGCCACTCTGAGATCAATGGTGGCGCTATACATTATCCACCACGACATCACAGTCCAGTAATAGTCTGCATAACTGATAGCAGCTAGTGTGTTTGTTCCCCAGCATGATACCAGCGTGTCTGAAAACTTGCCGGTGACTAATGTTTGATGCCGGGGCACCTGCCAAAGACGCACCTCGCGCTGATGCCAGCGTGCCGGACGTACCACGCCATTCCGTCTGGCTGGTCACGAATTGGGTCGGTTTTCTTTTCCATTTGCGTGTCCGCGCATCCTGCGCTCGTGTATTCTTCTTACGCGCTGACACTGCCCAGTGTTTGTTTGACCCAGATGATGACGTCACAGTCGCTAGAGTCACTTCCGGTTTGTGGGGGTTCAGGCCGCGGCCGATGGCGCCGCGCTGGTGGGCCACAGCGGGTCCCGGGCGTGCTAGGGCGCGACCGAGGAGACCTCAGGACTTCGCCATCCACCACCTGCGTTGGCTTGTTTTAGAGCAGCGCTTTTCGAACGTGTGGCATAGCCTAGCGGTACGTTGCGTAGCCTAGCGGCTCTTGGCACGTTCAGCACGTGCACCCTGCAAACGTCGCCAAATCTTGACAATGGGCACCCCCAGTTGTCCTTCGAGTCGCCAACCCACAAGCCACTCGGGAAAACTCATTAGCCTTCGGGAGCCGCCGTAAAGACATAGCCTCTGCATAATGCAAAGCCGCGTCTCACCGTTGAAGAGGGTCAGCCTGCTCTTCTGCTTCGCTGTAGCCCAGACGCCTGTGCCCCCACACTGTGGCAGCTGACGGCTGGCTGGTGTTGTCGGCAGCTCGCCTCTCATCCACGTCGCAGCCATGGTGGACCCCCAACTGTCCTCCGGAGCCGCCGACAAGCCCGCCCCTCGTGGTGAGTACTGACAGGTGGACGCGGCCGCCTCCTCGGTAAGCCGCCGGTGGGACAGTGACGCCGGCGCCTGGGACACGTGAGGCCAAGGATGACTGCCACCGTCTGCCCCGACCTGTCACTGGACGGGTGATGCGACTCTTTCTCTTGGCGGCGGGCCGGAGCTGCACTCGCTTCTGTTGCTGCGGAATCACTTCCAGCTCCGCGACGCAATGTATCCGGGGAATTACGGCTCGAATCCCGTGGAGCGCAGCAGACCCTTGTGTCAGCCCAGATTTTGACTGTAGTGAGCACCCCCTGTTTGAATTTACTTCGCATGTGGGTGATCAAAGTAAGAATGGGTAGCTTTTATCCCGGCCCCCGAGTTCGATTTGATAGGAGATGCGTTCAGTGGGCGTCAGGGGCATGTGTTCTCGCCCGTCACGCCGACCACCTTAACTGTCATTGGCCAGTCTGAGTCGGCCGGAGCTCTTGGCGCGTGCCGACAGGCAGGAGCCTCCTGTCCCATCGCTCGTCGCACTCTGATTCCGTCTCGACAGCCGGAGCGTTCCGTGGGGGCCAATGGCCTTGTCTCGTCGGAGGAGGAGCACGTGGAGGGGGCGGAGCCTCAGCGGAGCCCGGCTCCTCTGCTGGAGCGGATCCGTCGCGACCGCCAGGATCTGGAGGCCAAGATAGCCAAGCTCAAGTCCTACATCAGCGCCTCGTCAGATATGATGAGCAAGCTGAAAGACGTGCCGGTGAGCGTGTGTATCGGCCCGTCGCTTCACACATTCCGTCTTGATTCTGCAGGCAGCGTCTTGATTCTGTAAAAGGAGCAACACGATTTCGCTGTCTTGAAACGGTTGTCACACAGTTCTCTGTCTGTGTGTCTGTCAACGCTGTTGTTTGTCTTGAAACAGTCAGGGCATGTCCGTCATCTTGAGCGATGGCGTTGATGCTGTTGTCATCGGGGTCATACCACGGACTCACCCTGAGCTTTTTGGCGTCGCCCCTCTCACACTTCTCACCCCCTTTCACCCCTCTCACTTCTCTCACCCTTCGCACCCCTCTCACCCCGACAGGAAGGGCCTCTCACCCCGAAGGGAACGGCCTCTCACTCCGACAGGAGCAGTGGCCACCGCGGAAAATCGAACCCATTGTCTCTGGTTTCCCACATGCGCGGTGAAACAACCACGCTACCGACGCCCTCTTAGATGCTTCGTGGTCATGTCGCTACCCAGTAAGAATGGTGGCTGGCCGGCAGGACATGAAAGAACGCTATGAGACCCTGTCCGCCACTCGAGCCGATCTGGTGCAGAACGCCGTGAACCTGCAGCAGCTGCTAGTGAAGCTCAAGGAGTCCGAGGTGGGTGCCCGAAACCGGTTCTGCAGACCCAGCACGTCACCGAAACCCTTGAGCCGATGGTGACGCAT